TTGAAAACATTGTCAATTCCATTTGTTGGAGAGTTCTTTTATTTATTTTGTATTTGACCATGTCTACTCTCTCCAAACTCTTAATAAATTTTGTCTTTCCGTTATCTCTCCAAAAACCCTGTTCCAACATCCATTTACTCAAGCTCACTAAGTTTTCCTCTGTTTCTCTTGCCTTCAATCTATCCTGTGAGCATCAGATTTTCCAAACCCTCTTTCCTCATTATGAGCCCTAGAAACCTCAACTGTTTCTTCCTGGTATTGAATATAAGATTTATTTTTGCTTCCATTTTCTCTAAAACTTCGTCGCTTCTCACATTTTCGGACCATGGTATACTCAGCATCATTCTATAGAACCACATTTCTGTTGTTTCTTGTCCTTTCTTCAGAAAAAGCGCGCGAAAAGCGAAGAAAAGAAATAATCTTCAAACATAACTCTTCAAATTTAAATAAAATTTATTATTGAGTGTTTGTTTTCTTTTAAGATGAGATAGATGAATTACAAAGATCCTCGCAAACAAAAACCCACAAAAATATTTTGTTTTTATTTTTTACAACACAACAGAAATAATTGCGTTAGTATGATTGAAAAGCTGAATGCGCCGACTTTACGAGAGAGTATTTACTTTGTTTTATGTGAGCGTGTAATTTTCCAGCAGTCAGAGATGTTCTACAGAAGGATGATGAGAATACATTTGCTGGTGCATATAAACAATAATGAAGTTTTTAAAAATAGTAATAAAAAGAACATATTTAGAATAAAAAATAGGCAGTAGAGATTTCTAGGGCACATAATACAGAAAGAAAGCTGGCAAAATTTGACGCTCACGGAATATTAAGACACAGGGAAATATCTAATAACCTAAAGATAGAGCTTGTGTACACGAATGACAGAACCGGTAGTGAGCGGTTACTTGAAAAACAAACATTACTAAGAGCTAAAAAGGATAGGATGTTGTGGAGAGTAATGATCTCAAACTTCCTGAAAGGACATGGCACATAAAATAAGTGGAAATGGTCACAGTTAGCTAGTTCCAACGTTTTAACCACTACACCATTACAGTTCTAAAGTTTAGATTAACGCTTCAAAAAAATTGCAATATATTTTTCATGCACTGAAATGTGTTCACGCCATTATTTAGCGGTAAATAATTTTTAAAGCATTTCATGGAATAATTAATAATCTCCACAAACCACAATGTGTTTATTTGTATGGACGCATGGACGTGTTTCTCTGTGCATCGAAAAGAAAAAGTTAAAATCATATTCACAAGATAAAAAAGAAAAAAAATATTGATAACTTTACAGCATTCGATTCAACTGCTTTCTTAACAGGATTTTTCTGTTAATATTTTCTTTTTTCTAAAATATGTACACCCGGCAATTAATTCAATAATCATCAAACTAATGACCTGATCAATAATTCTTAAATATGTGTATATTCATCAGCACGATATGTATTTTATTTTTGTTTTCTCTTTTTTTTTTTTTTTTTGGTGGAAAAATAAAATAAGAATATATATGCCTTTTTATTCACATCGTCTAAGATTTTGTTTGGGAATATTTTATTTAACATTTCAGGATAAATATAAAATAAATCATTTAATGTTTTTACAATGCTTTCTGTTTTTTGAATTGCGTGTTATTTCCCCAAGTAATTACTACTTTCTAAAGAATAAGTTAATTACTTCTAAAGGTATTTATATCTTGATACTTGGATACTGACGCATGCGCAGACTGGAACGGTAATGTTAATATCCTTTTGCTTATATGAAAACATTCAACAATCACTGACCGAAATTCCAATGCTACTTTCGGTCAAAATTTACAACTGTCTATTAAAAGAATTTTTCAGGAAAATATTTTTCTTATGCGTAATGACAATGAATTCAACAAATATAAAAACAAAACAAAAAAAAAACAGAAAGGGGCATAAGGCAAGTATGTGTCGTCTCACCGGACTTATTCAACCTATACAGCGAGGCAGTTCTGACAGAATTGGAGATAGTACCAGGATTCAGCATTGACAGCCACAATCTTACCAACATGCGATAAGCAGATGACACAGTAATGATAGCAGACACGGAAAAGAAACCACAAAACCTCCTACAGAATGTATCGAGGGAGAGCGAGAAGAAGGGACTAAGCCTAAACTACAAGAAGACAGAATGTCTGGAATCCTGCGTTTGGGGAAGTTTAAATATCTGGGTAGTGTTTTGACGGAGGATGGTAAGTGCGACGCTGGGATCCGAAGACAAATTGGGATGGCCAAGGATCCTGGACAGAGAACTGCAAGGCAGGTAGATTTCTTTGGTGACAAAGAAAAGAGTACATCTGTCCTCCTATACGGCAGCGAATTTTGGACGGTCTCCTCAAACATGAAGAAGAGACTCGAGACAGCAGAGATGTGGTTCTACAGAAGGATGCTGAGGATATCATAGAGCGAGCGTGTGAGCAATGACGAGGTCTTGGAAAGGATGCAAAGAAGGAGGATATGTATACTTAACATAAGGAAGCGGCAGATAAAATTTCTGGGACACGTAATGAGAAAAGAAGGCCTGGAGAATCTGATACTCTTAGGTCGAATAGATGAAAAGAGAGACAAGGGGAACCAACACATAACTTGCCTGGCGGGCTTAAGCAAGTGGATGACAGAACGTGGTCTGGGAGAGTTGGCAGAGGCATGAAACTTATTAAGCCACAAGGGATGGAGGGAAGTAGAGAACCATGATCGCCTACATCCTGAAAGGACACGGCACATATAAAGGAAAGAAAAACTGAGAGTTTATCACGTTTCCAAGCTCTGACCCAACTGAATCTCAGGATTTGATGGAGTTACATATGTTCAAAAATTCTTGTATATCTGATGAAGACCTCAATGCCGAAATATGTTGTGGTGAGTAATGATCTCAAACTTCCGGAAAGGACCTGGCACATAAATGAAAATGGTGACAGCTAGTTCCAACTCCATCGGAAGGAAAAAATGAGAGACCCTATATATTTAATATTTTCCAAGACTATATTCTGTACAGATAAATAAAGATGCGGATATTGGTCATTTAAAGACTCCATACCACATCCCAAATGAATCTATCAATTTGTGACACCATTTAGGGACACGAAGAGAAAAAAAGAAAAAAAAAGAAAGGAAAAAGAGAAAGGAAAGAAAGGAAAAGGGAGGCAAGACTTAAGCTTAGATGATAAAAGAAGCCACCCACGACCGGGGACATTGACAATGTCATTTTGATAAGTAGCAAATGGTGAAAGGTTTCATTACCATTGCAGAAAAATTCTAAATGGATAAGAAAATCGACTATGTTCTGGTGGCGTACTTGTGTTATCGGGGATAGATAACAGCCACTTAATGCTGGCGAACATCTAATTAACAAACAACAGGCCGGCTAGCTAAAACTCCGAGACAATTCGACAATGTTATTTTGATAATGGAAAAGATGGTGAAAATTCTGACCACCAGTGTCGTAGAACTGTCTGACAAAGAACAGGTGAATACAGAGCTTTGGATAGATAAGAAAAATTAACTGTGTCAGAGGGGGCAAACAATATTGTCGGGAAAGGATTTACTAGGTCGTCTGCTAACCGCACACGAAGCCAACCCTGGGTCACGTCTTGGCCGTTTTGACAAGACATCTATGGGTGTTAGAATTCGGTTGTGATAATAAAACTATGTTATCAGAAATTGGCACCAAGAATGCAAATACGGCTAGGACAATGGAACTGTTTTTTCGAGACGACGGTCGACTGTGTTTCGCTAGACGACTACCCCACTTTTTAATTGGCATTGATAGATCCCAGGTGACATTGGGGGATGAGATCTGCGATTAAGGAAAGAAAAGGAAAAGAAAAAGATAATTTTTTTTGAGCAAGATATATTTTTTTTTCCCTACAACAAAGCCAGCCGGATCACACCCACAGTCGGAGGTGATCACGAGACGGAAGGGGGAGAGCCGCCGCCGCCCATTTAGAGGATAGGTATGAGAAGTTGCTACGAAGAAGTGGGGAGAACCGTTGACGCCCCTCTGAAGTATGGCGAGATATCCAGATGAAAATAAAAGAAGGTGGGAGTAAGAGAAGGCTTCCAAAAATGGAAAGGAGTGGAAAATTCCTGACCAAAAATAAAAGAAGTCGATATGGATTTAGAATTATCGAGGAACCTCCAACCCCGACAAACCCACCCCGGTTTTGGTCGGCGTCCATATAAGCAAAGTCGCAGCGAGCAATAATCAGTTCAATCCAGAGTTCAGAAGAGTTCATTCCAGAGTCTCCAGTGCTCAGTTGAAGCAGGCCTCGCATCAGCTGACTAAGATTCGCGAAACTTCCGAACTCATCTTCAATCCAAGAACAATTTATTTTGAAGAGCGACTTAGATCCATACCATCAAAATAAGTTTTTCGACTATCGCCTGAAGACACACCAAGAACCAATTTCTTAAAGAACAGACAACTTAAGATGTTAAAACTCACCTAACAAAAACAACGTGTCACAATCCATATAGCGGGTCGGGAGATAGACGCAGTCCTATGTATACAGCACCAGATATAAAGTATTGAACACAGAGCTGGTGTAGTTTTTCCCAACACGGCACCATGCTACAAAACCAAAATATTAACATAGCATCTCGAATAATATTCTTGAACAGTCTCATCGGTTCTAAGGTTTAATATAACTTGTTCAGATATGTCTAAATGCGAACGCTTTCTCTGGTTAATTAGGAAAATGGTTTCCAGCGAATGAAGCCCATGGCTCTCAGTGTGGACAATAGTTCTTAGAATCTCGTTGACTGGCACT